CCGGCGCGGCCCGGCCCGGCCCCCCGGGGGGTGCGCGGGCGGTGAGGAGGCGCCGGGCCCCCGCGGGCGCTCTCCCTCCCGCCGCCCCGCTGCGGCGAGCCCCGCGCGGGCAGGTGCGGCGGCGGGCGAGGCCGCTGCCCTGCGGCGGGTCGGCGTCCCGAGACCTCTTCAATGGAAGTATGCTGCCAGCTGCCGGTGCTGCCCCTCGACAGGCCGGTGCCGCAGCACGTCCTCAGCCGCCGAGGGGCCATCAGCTTCAGCTCCAGCTCCGCGCTCTTCGGCTGCCCAAACCCCCGGCAGCTCTCGCAGGTAGGTGCTGGGTGCCGGGACGGAGGGCCGGGGGCTGCGGGCGGGATGGGCTCCCATGGGGCCCGGGCTACTCGCGGCCCCGCCGGCGGAGAATGCGACATTTTGCGTGTGCCCGCCGAGCCGGCCTCGCGGGGTTATCCCCGGCGGCGATCGGTCGTCTGCTTCGCCTTCGGCTCCTAAGCCGGGGCTGCTTCCTAGCGTCCGGCTCGGGCCCTTCAAAGACGGGCCGAGTTTCCGATGGTGCGGCCAAAAGCTGAAGTGACTTTACTGAAATAACGAACGTGCACTGCGGCGTTCTGTTTGGGATGCTGAGCTGTGCCTCCATCCAACTATGAGGACTTGGCAATCCGTCTCGAAGGAGACAAAGCTCCATGGCTTCGCATTGCCATGGTGTTGTTCCCTGCCCACATTACATCAGTCGCAAGATGAACTCCGTGGTATCTTGGTTCACCCGATCGTGATGGGAACGTTACAGAAACGTGCATGTGGAGACAACAGGGAGGTTTTCCTTGAGGGCACTGTCCTGAATTTTTGGGATGTGTGCTGGTGTGGCTGTGGCCTCCCAGCAAACGGTAACAGGGTTACATTCTGGTATAAGCCTCTGGAGAACGTGTGGAATTGCAGAGGAAAGCGTGTGTGTTGATGGAAGGCTGCTTTTGGCTCCTAAGGGTTTCTTGGAAGGTCTCTTCTGGGACTCTACGATGTCCTTACAGAAGATGCAGTCTTTGTTCTTCGTGCTTGTAATGGTCATTTCTTTCTCTTCACGTTTTTTGGTGTTTCATTCAGGTATCGTCCTCTTTTGTGACTTACTGTGCTGCACATGCATAAGTAGAGCATAGAGAGCTGTTGGGCTTGACATTGTTCCTCCTTGGGCAGCAGTGAAGCTCTTTGTGTTAGCATCAGGGGTGTGAGCGTTTGGGAAGGAAGAATGAGCAAGTATCATATTAATTATCAGGAATTTGAATATATAGTAACACCTTATTAGTAAGGAGATGAAGATAAACATTCATTGACCATCCCTCCACCAAGTATGAGTGTAATACTTAACTGACGAAAACTGTTTTTATGACAAATCTGTTTTCCACATGGCAACTGGGTTAGAATATTTTCCGTTTGCAGTCCTTCACCAGAGTTTTATTCGATGGTGGTGAGTTTCCTATCTGCGCAAATCTTCCTGAAGGTCCGATCTAACCAAGCACGTGTCCTGTGCTAGTGAGAGAAGGGTCTCTTCTTAGAAGAATCGGTGGTCTTCTGGAAGTCCGAATGGGCAAAGTGGTCAAAATGACACATTATATTTGTTCCTTTTCTATTCAGTCTCCAGTGCATGTGAGGGATCAATTATGTGCAAGCCTAACAAATCAAATGGGATAGTGGCATTTAAGTGTATTTTTTTCCCATCTTTTGAGCTTCTTGATGTATTCCTTTCTTCTTGACCAATGTGCTGCAGGTATAATTGGGTGAGTTACAGGGAGGGGTGGTTGTGTAACATGTCAAAAAGTGAAAACCATGCGTATGCTTGACCAAGTAGTATTTTCTTTGGGTAAGTCAGGTAAATAAGTCTATGCATACATAAAAGGGAGCTAGGGTATTTAAGGGAGGAAGTCTCTGCAAATACTATCTGGCTGATTGTAGAACAACTATTTTTTGTTGTCTTTGGACTACCCTTTTCTCCCACTTTGGACTCGTTTACAGATAATAGGATATGAATATCTCTCAAACCTGCTATTGTTGGAGGCAGGCATAAATGATGGGCCAGAGTGTTAATGGTTCTGTGCAACTTCTGAACTTCACCTTGCAAGTCTCCTGGAAGACTCCTGGTATTCCAGTTCCATTTTGTTTCAAGAAGTGTGAATCTGGTCTGTTGCTTTCATTCTTCTGTTTGGGCTGGACTTGAGCAATAGGAGTACAAGTGAAGATGTGTACTAGCGTGCTTAAGAGATAGAATCGTATGGGTTGGAAACGACCTCTGGTGATGATGTGGTCTAACTCCCCTGCTAGAGGAGGCTCCCTACAGTAGGTTACACAGAAAACCAGTGTGTGCAACCAGACCATTATCTTATGGTTTGATATGCATTTGTTAGGTTTTTGTCAAAAAGTCAGGTCTTGAGAAGTGAATTCTTCCTTAAAATGTGAAATTGCGTAGGCTTAAGACATTATAGGCTTAGCTTTTTGACAAGGAAGCATTCATATGGGAAACGGTGGTAAGACAAATGCATAGTATGTTAGGTGTAGATTTTAATCATGACAATGTGAAGCCTGCAAATATTTATCTCATTTAATTTAAGTTCGATTTAATATTTTAAGTTTCACTGAGTGGGTTCCAATAGGGCTGTGCATGTTGGGTGGTTGTTGTTTTTTTTTGTTTAGTTTTTTTTTTTTTACAGTGTGGATAAAGCACTGCTGCAGATGACCTCAGGAGTTGTGGTCTACTCTCGTCAGCTCCAGGAAAGATGAATTGTACTCAGAGTATTATTAGTAGATGTTTGTCTAATCTGTTTGTCTTATGTTTTTTAAGATAGAGTCTTATGAGATGTGGTGAGCTGACATAACTCATTACGGCTGAAGGTTAAAGTCCTGACATTGGGCACATATTATTACTGCTTCCTTTATGCCATCTCTGATGCTTGTCAGGTGATCCTGATTCAGTTCACCGAAGGAACAGGCAGCCTGGTCAGAAAGGCTGGGTGGTGACCTGCCATCTCCAGGAATACCATAGGCTTAGTCATGATCGTCACAACTGATTTAAAGAAAAAGGATGGTACCATGAGGCTTTTGAAACCGTATCCATAAAAGCCTCAAATAATAGGAATTATGCAATTTTACCAGACAATTTAACTGTTGTTAACAGTGCTTAACTGTTCTGTCATTTAAGAGGTCTTTCGTAATACTGAGTTTAGATCTTCCTTGTGGCAATTTAAACCTGTTTCTGTCCCAAGTAAATGTAGGAAAAAAAACTTATTTCACTTAGCAGTTTTCTTTAGTGAATGAATTATTTCATTGTACTCTTCTTTTCTCTAAGTTCAAAGTACTAATAATGAAAAGAGTAAAAGTGGCATCTATTACCTGGAGGTTATTTGTGATAATTGCTGTTCCAGTCCAGTCAAATGAAGAACTGCTCTTGTGTGGTTTTATACAGCCTTTTTTTTTTTTTTTTTTCCAAAGTTTTAAATGCTGGTGTCATAAGCTGGTTTTAAGGGCACCTGAATTGGTGATAATTGAAATGATGAGGTATTTCACACTGGTGAGATTAAATTGGGGTTCACTGCAAGGTCAGGTGGATGTTAAGTAGTACCTTGGATCACGCCTCAGGGGTGTTTGTTCCCACTGTTACAAAAGGATGTTTTTAAAATTAAAGGTGAGCTTTCAGACGGTAATTTTGGATTTTTTACCTCATGTCATTTTTAACTTCTGTTATTAATATTAGTTAAAAAGTTGCTAAAAACCGTGGCAGTGCTTATTTAGCGTGAAATGTTTGTCTGATTTTTGTTCTTTAATGAATGAGGGTTTGTAATGAAAACCACTTTAGAAACACAGCTGTGAGCACTTTTTGATGACATGCCCAGCATTGCACTCCACACGCACACAAAAAGCGAACCAACAAAAAAACTTGAATTGAGAGGTCAGCACATGTTTGCATGGCATAAAAAGCAGTCTCAGAAACATGTCATAAGTGAGTAAGAGAAAACTTTGGCCTAGCCTGTCATTCTTGCCTCCTTTTTATCCTTCTGCCATGTTACTGATTCCATGCTGGCTTCAGTGCCTCCAAAAATCACATCAGTGGAGGTTGTTAGTGGAGTCTGAATAGAAGCAATGATCCAGTTTTTGCCTTTCTGCCCATAAGGGTTGGAACAAAAGAGATGTAAGGATGAAATTCCATTAAGAGGGAAAGGGGCAAGTAGTAGAAGATTCCAATGGAATGTCAGAAATGTAGGCAGTAAGCTGTTACCTGAAATGTTGGGTATTGTTGTTCACCAGGTCATTCGTAACTTACTGTCTGCTCTCTAATAACCAGCTCATTATTGCATCTTAATTTCATGCATTTAAGCAGCATAGCATTGTGCTCTGTGTCTCTGCATGCTACATGCATCTGAATAATAGACTGCAGGTCATGCATGTGGGATCCTAAGTTTGATTTAAAGAGGACACAGCTGGAAAGAAAGCCAGAAAGAGCAGCTGGAGATGCCTGGCCCTGGGCGGCTCTTCAGTGAGAGGTCCATGTTTCCTCTGAGAAATGTGCTTCCCAGCAGCAACCAAATGCCTTGGACAGCTTTTGCTAACATTGCTGATTGTTTGTCCATTACACCAGGTGTGAGATCCAACTACGTTTCCTGCTGCATATAGCATTAGAAAACATGGGTGTGTTTTTACGGTCTGGACATAGGCATTGGTTGGTCTTCAATCCCACGGTCACACCTTTCTGCGTTGAGAAGTGTTGGCGTGACCTATTTTTCCCTTGGAGCTGCTCGTTTCTGCATTTTCCCTTTGGTCGTGTCAACTTCTTTTTTTTTTGATCAGGTTATTTTTCAGCCCTTGCTGATTCATAGTGTAGCTTCACAAATGATCGTTCGTGCCTGTTAGTAATGAGGAAGCAGTATGTCACAGTGCTAGACCAGGAGTAATGAGCAGTGGGGAGACAGAAGGAATGCCTTATGTTGGGCCTGCTATTGAATGTGGAACTTACCCCAAGCTCCTTTCTTTACGCGTTCTCTGTTTTTCATAACTTTTCTTTTATTTGGTTCCAATCCTCCTCATCAGTGTTTTGCAGCCTCTTGCTCTTTTATTAGCTTTCCCCTACCATTTCCTGTATCTCTGCTGCATGAATAATTAACAAGTGAAAATAATGAAATAATTTTCATGGTGTGATTCCTAGCCTCTGGAATTAATTCTGTGTGTTGTTGCAATGCTTGCCATTCCCTTCATCTTGTATTTATTGTGTCTGGTTGCTGAGATTGCATCTATTCATATGAGAGGCAGAGACTGACTCCGGCTCTGCACAGCAT